GGGAGGAAAGGAGGAAAGAGGGAGGAAGAAAAGGAGGGATAAACGGAGGGTGGGATGAAGAGGGTGGAAGAGAGGGAAGGATGAAGGACAAGGGAGGAAGGGGAGGAAGAGGGAGAGAAGGAGGGACAAAGGAAGGAAGACATCTTCAGCTTCAAAATAAAAGTCCAGTGTCCTGTGTGCAGACGTCTTCAGCTACAAAATAAAAGTCCAGTTGTTTTCGTCTTGAACCTTCTTTGACTGCACCATGTCCTGGAAGACCGAGCATCTTCACCAACCTCAGCAAGTTGAACCAAAGCACCGATCTGTTGAGCAGTCCCTGAAAAACTGTGGCCTTCAGACTTTGAGGAACTCTTTTCCACACCTTGGCTACAGCTGATGGCAGCACTGGGAACCAGATGTTGGTTCAGAAGATCCCTATTTTGTCGAGTTGAAAAAAATAAAATTAATCCGTTGTTCACCCACATCGATCCAAACAGAGTCGGCAACAATCGTCCGTCTTCACCCGGCGTGCTGCTGTGAAAAGGCCAAACCCAGCTGTGACTGAAAGAGCTGTGAGGATCTGATTAAGTTCTTCACACGTTCTTTCCATCAGCTTGTTGCTCGACTTGATAGTGTTGTTTTTTTTTACTACACGATGAAATAAACTCGTCATTAAAACCGATGAAAATGTTCTGCAGAGCCGCAGAGTTGGAGGATTCGTGTTGCCGTTTCTGTCCTTTCACAGTTTTCACGTTTCTGAGGAGAAACCGCTCGAGTCGAACCAAAACACGACTGCGTTCAGAAAGTTGTTAATTGGGATGGATAATGTTTCGATTGTTTACTGTAAACACGTCGAATGAACCAAAACTCCAGATGAGATTTAGTCTATAAAAACGGTGTCCACATGAACGTTCAGTTTTTCTTTGTAAGAGTGTGTGGGCACCGCTGCTTTACTTGAACCCAAACAGAATCCTCGACCTCCATCTGTGCGCAGCAGTGAAGAACTCGGGAATAAAAAATTAAAACCTCCTCCATGTTTTGAACGACTGTTTGACTCGACCAAATCGTGCCAGCTGGATTGTTTCCTTCTTGCTCTGAAGTTCACCCTGGAGATCTCGCCCCGTGTGCGTTTGTGTTTGTTTTGAAGGTATCTGAAGTCTCGTGTGAAGATCATGGTGGACGGAACGCTTCTGATCTCCAGCCTCATCCCGGAGGATTCTGGGAACTACACCTGCGTTCCGACGAACGGCCTGTTGACGCCGCCGGCCGCCTCTGCCGTCCTCACAGTGATGCGTACGTACAATAACGGCTTCTTCTACGTTGGTCAGCGAGAGCACGACTGTGGTGTTGCTATTTTAACGGTTGAATTATTTGCGTTTAAAAAAAGTAAATAACTAAATATAAAGGCATTTTAAACCCTTCCCACACTCTTGCAATATTCTAAACAATGTTTCTAAACTAAACTCTAAAAGACACAGAATGTCATGATTTCAGCTCTTTGCAAGCACTCTTGGCCACGCCCACTTCTCCGCTCTGCACGCTGATCAGCTGATCAGCTGCAGCAGGAAGCTTATCCTGCAGTGTGGGCTGTACAAATGTGCAGCAGGTGCTAAATAATTTCAAATAATGTGTTTTAAATAAACAATCCATGCCGATCGTGCAGCTCATCCATCAGTCAGTCACTTGTGTGTCATGTCTGATCTTATTTTGAAAAACTGCGATACAGCGAGTCTGCGATAAATGAACCGCAAAGTAGCGAGGGACTTTATTTATAAATGAATCGAGTCGAGGGTGGCATGATGGTGTAGTTGGTAGAGCTGCCTGTCGGATTGAATCCCGGCCTTCCTGGCTGGAGTTTGCATGTTCTCTCCGTGCATGCGTGGGTTTTCTCCGAGTACTCGTTTCCTCCCACAGACCAAAAACATGCATGTTAGGCTGATTGGTAACTCTAAATTTTCCCTGCATGCGAGTGAGAGAATGGACGTTTGTCTCATGTTGTCTGTGACTGATGAGCTAAAACTTTAAATGTATAGCTTTAGCAGAATTTGTTAATCCAAAGACATGGTGGAGGATTCTGTCGGGATGAACGGAGTTCGCAACGCTTGGAAATTCAAGCAGATAATTATCACATATGAACATTAGGGTCTGAATGGTCCCAAATTTATCCTGCAGCGGGTCAGCTACCCTAAACGTACAGCTGATGTCAGACAATGAACATAAGTGTAAAGAACATCGGATGGTCCATACAAAAATAGAAGACTGAGGTGTCCACATTCAAAGATCTCTGATTAGTTCTTAGAGATGTTTAGAACAACCTAAAGTTCCTCCAAAAACTTGAGTGCAAGTGTACCCAAAGCTGGGGTACAAAAGCCCCAACGGTGTGTTGGGTTTCTATTTCTGTTGGTCCATTTTATGGCTTTAATTTCTAGACCATATGAAGACGAAAGGAATTTAGCATTTTTAAGTTTTATTTGCAATGTAAGTCTTTTCACCCAAGTTGTTAAAGAACTGCACATATTGCAAAACTGTCTTTCAGTTTCTAAGACTGTTTCCTGCAGAATCATTTTCCCTTCCTTGTGAAAACATTTCATATTTATTCATCTCTTCTGTACGCCTTGTAATAAAGGAATTGGCTCAAAGTCTATATTGATACAACGTAGCAGAAGTCGTGTTTAAACTTGCTCCGAGCTGAAAGCTGCACCTCAATCTTCAGATCTTACAAATGAAACATCTATTTCCTAACTGTCCTCAGACCCAGCCCTGGCTCTTCAACTGCCCCAGGAAACCTACCTCCCCACAGGTTTGGGGGGGGTGATCCCCTGCCCGGCGGTGGCTCAGCCTCCACTTCTGCGTGTGGACTGGATGAAGGATGGAGGACCTCTTGATTTGTCCTTGGTAATTAAAAAAAAAAAAAACTCAAATGGAAGCACATCCTCATAGTTTGGTCCCTCATTAAGTGAAGTGACATCACTGTGTGATGTTTCAGGGACGCAGTATCTGAATCTATTATTTTCCTTTTAGCAGAGAGATCTGTGACACTGCTGCAGCTGGGTTTGAAGGATTTGCAGAAATAACCCTGCAGTAAAATACCCACTACCCCATAAGGATAATTATTTTTTAAAAACATGCTTTACTTGTATTAATATCCCCATTTTTCAATATGATGATTAAAAATGCACGTTGAGGATGAATTGATCTTATATTCCGTACATCTATAGATGGACAGGAGGTTTCCTCTGACATTTGCTCCGCTCACTGATGGAAATGTCCTCCCTGCTTGTCGGTGCGCGGTCGTTCAATCACCTACATTTTAATGGATACGGCTAATGTGCTCAGTCTTAAAAGCTTGGAAGCAATCCCTGAGGAGTTCCTCTCCGTCGTCCCTCACTTTCCCTTCCATCTTCCGGTCACCTCATTGGAGCGATGAGGGAAAGCGCCGTTATAGATTAGGACACGGGACTTCCCTGCATTTTAAAGCTCCACTTTTCCAGATTGGAAAATTCCATCCCCGGATATTGCTCTCACTCCAAGTAAAAGTTACTATCACAACTTTTTTTGCATGTTAAAAAAAAAAAAAAAAAAAGCGCTTCCTCCACATGCTGAGTCGCCCCCCCTCACCACTTTAGTCCGAGCGACGGACATGTCGGCGAACGAGGTGCACCGTGGGAGATTTGACAAGTTCCTGTTGCGAGGGACACACGAGCTGGAAGTCTGGCTGTTATTCTGCCAATTATTCCACTTCCATTGTGGTTGTCACAAGCTCGCATACCCGCTGTAATCACCGCTTCAATCCGGGGAGAATAATGGCAGTTTTGACTTCATTAAACTGAGTGGGGAAACTTTTTAGCATAACACAAGCCTTTTACTGTTTCGTAATGGAAAAGAAAATGACTTTTACTGCTTTTTATGCCGGTTTTCAAACATTCGTCAAAAATGTTGAGAGTTTTTCTCTTATGTGTCTGGATTAACTAATTTTATTTTAATTCAGCTCTTGTCGTCAAAGCAACAAAAGATCATGTTCTATTTTATTGTTTTAAATAAAAAATGACTACTGTAACATAAATAAACAATCCATCTATCAGAAGCAGTGGAATAATTGGACACTGGGGGCATTTAGATACTTCACTGGCAGGCAGTTATCTAAACATTGATGAATTAATATAGCTGCCAGAGTGAGATGATGATTGTTTTCCTCTCAGTATCCAGGATGGACCTTAAAAGCTGATGGCTCTTTGGTTCTGGCCACGGTCAACGAGGATGCAGCCGGCGTTTATTCATGTACTCCGTTTAACAGCTACGGCAGCATGGGCTCTTCTGGATCAACCAACGTGATCCTGCAGGTTGGTGTGCTCAACAGGCCACAGCATCACTCGGTATCACCCTCCACCGAAGGTAAAGCGTCAGCGTCTTTACCTGTGCCTGGTGGAGCATTAGCAAAATATCTCAAATCAGTTAATGGAGTTCAATTAAATTGTTCCACATCTATAACTAATTAAATGTTTAAGTCAGTTTAATTGAGGATGGCTGCCTCGGAGTTTCCCAACTTCTGAGCTAGAATTTGAGCATCATTCCTCTGACTTTAAGTATTTTTAAACGGGCATCTAGAAAGCTGGAAAGAAAATGGCGCTCTACTACCGCAGAAGAATTTTATTTAACTTAGAGGGATAGCCTGCTAACTTATAAAAAAGCTCTCCGTAAAGTTAGAACTGTATATTATTCATCTTTAATAGATACAAATAAAAATAACCCTAGGTTTCTGTTCAGTAGAATAGCTAAAATAATGAAAAGTCCTATTTCTGTTGAGTTGTGCATCACTACAACTATAAGCAGTGATGACTTCATGAAATATTTTTTTATAAATAATTTCAATTAGGAAGAAAATGCAAACCATCCTTCCTACTATCACCTCTGGTTCCCTGTCAGATGAGGCAACTTTAAAAATGTGACTAGAACCTGATTTATGTTTGGACTGTTATTGTCCTGTTGAGCTCTCTGAATTGTCAAAAGTAATGGCTTCATCCAAACCATCAAAGTGTCTGCTAGATCCCATCCCAACCAGTCTATTTAAAGAGGTATTTCCCCTAATTAGCATCCATATTTTGGATCTGCTTAATTTGTCTCAAATAAGTGGTTACATACCACAGTGTTTTAAGGTTGCTATAATTAAACCTTTACTTAAGAAACCTAATCTGGATTTCAGGAATACTGGCCAATAATAGACCATCTATTCACCATAACCATCATATCTAATCTAACATTCATCTAAGAAATTCTCGAAGAAAAAGTTGCATGTCAAAACATCTGCAAAAATATAATCTGAGGAGTTTCCACTGTTGCCTTTGTGCTTGCTCAGGATGGGAGACTGCGACTAAATGAAGATTCACCGTGTCTGCTGGCTTCTTTACTTCCTTACATAGAAACCTTTTGTAATTGGCGTTTAGAATGTATGTGGATGTTTTTGTTCAGTGCCCTGAGATAACTTATGTTGTGACTTGGCGCTACGTATATAAATAAACTGAATTGAATCCCCAATGTCGTGCATCATATTTGCTCAAAATGTTGATTTTTACTATCAAAATCAACTCTGTTTGTTTGTAAGCAAAATATCTTTTCAACCATTACATAGAATTTGGGAATGTTCTCAGACCATAATCATTGGACGTAGCTCTACAACTCTTCAACATCTGAGGTCAACGCAATGCAAGACGGCGTAACAAACGAATAAAAATGGCTTCAACTCCGTCAATCTTAAATGTACCGAGTTAACTTTGTATGGTAGTAGAGGAGAGTCATCCTCAACACACTTTCATCCCAGCTTGTGAGAACACAGAATTTCGAAGGTTTGATTAAAAAAAAGAAGTCTACGGTTTTCTAACAAGGTTAAAAACTTAACCTGGTTAGATCTTTCTGGATTGTTCTTCTCTACATAAAATGCTTTTATTTTCAGTCTAATCTTTAACATGAACAGTGGCGGGTGATGTGCATTCTTTCATGCAACGCTACACCTTTTAATTTAGTTAAAAAATGTTAATTCATAATTTGAATCGTTGAGTTACGGATGCGCCCCCATGAGCTAACACCAAACGTTTTCTGCAGTTTTTCAGCAGTAATTTATTAAACACAACGGCATCTGTCACAGCCAATTAAAAATCTTTACAAGAACAACATTTTATTGACCTTTAAATGCTGCTGTGTGTGGCCCTCTGACATTAATCGACATCAATTCAGGCTGACTACAATTGTGGCACTAGTGGGGAGTTAATTGTGTAGCTAATCCTGTTATTATTAAGCTAATCTTGTCCAAAGCAGTAGTAATCCAGTCTCAGAATCCATTGTTGGCATTGCTGCAGCCTCTTTTTGCTTTGGCAAATCACAGGACCCCCCGTCATTCGGCATCGGTCCAGAGGAGGAGTACAAACAGGAAACGGGGCGAACGCTGCTCATCCCCTGTCAGGGAAACACGGACTCAACCAACAAAGTGACCTGGAGCAAGGTAAGAAACGCATGATTTATTTTTGGCATGCTGAAATCTTAAGGTTCATGTTGTTTATGGGGGGGAAAGGTACAAAACTTGTTTTTCTTGTAAACTTGAGAAGAATGAAAGTGGCTCATAGCTTGGATGGAAGGATTGCTGCCATTTCTCCTCAGTCCGTCTCGTAATTGGTTCTCCACTAAAGCAAGAAGGGCTGAGTCAGAACTCTCTCCTTGGTTGGTTTCACAGCTGCATGCCTTCATAACAAACATCTAGGAAACTGGAAAGGCGTTTTATTAAATGTGGAGAACTTTTCCTGGAAAACGGGTTTGTAAAATGCCATCGATCGGTTTACAAATTAAGCCCTGGTTGTTGGTGAGTGATGCAAAGGAAAATGTTGCTCTGGTCAGGGTTTTCCTCTTTCACTTTATCCTAGATTCTTTTCAGCAGTCTGCTTCTTTCGGTAAGATGTGGTGATCCGTCCGTGGTGACATTGTCAACAACTGTCTTTTTGTTTAACTCACTGGCACCATCTTTGTCGATCATGTCACTGTCCTGCGTGAGAAACTGATCTTTTCAAACTTGGCTCTTGCCTCTACCTTGCAGTCCTTCAAAAACTCGCCTTCTGAGAAAGGCTCGCTAGCCTTTGTTAATTTGAGTGCAAGCAAAAAGCTTGCCTTGGTATTTCAAATTCAAGTTCAAGAAGCTTTATTATCCTCAAGGGGCAATTTGTTCCACAGTCAGTAGACTAGACAATGATGCATTAAAATAACCATATGGAAATCACGGTTTGTTGAGAAGCATGATCGCTACAGGGATAAATGAGGTTTTTAGTCTGTTCGTCCGGCAGCAGATATCTGCGTCCCGATTGAAGCAACCTGAACTCACCATGGAGTGGGTGATCAGGATCTGCCAGAATCAGCCTGGCCTTGTTCACTGACTTGACTCTTGAATCAGTTTGTAAAAATATTTAGCCGAGGCCGTAATTTATTCAGTCGATCTCTCAGCAGTAGCGGCCTGTTCTTGTGTTGACTGCTTGCTAGCGTAGTTAGCATGCGTCGTGGCAAAGTGACGGCTGATGGTATATTTGAAAACTGCAACAGTCTCTTGGCATATCACACCTGATCGGACATCAGTGGAAAAAAATAATTTGTTGTCCACTCATTAAACGCTCAGTACTCCGTCTTCCGTTCGTCGGTCCGCTCGTTTTCAAAGAAGGGCTCAAACCGCAAAGTGAAAAAGTTTAATCAGAAACATCAGAAAAATCTGTCTGAGTTGACCCTGTCCACTTTTAGCTCAAATATTTATCATTATTGGCAATGTCCACACAAGTGACCTGGATGTGTTAGAAAAGTTGTTTATCGACATCGACTTTGCATTTAATCCTGAATAAAAAGCCAAAGGTCATCTGAGATCATCCAAGGATCACATGAAATGCCACGACCATCACTCAAACGAAGGTCAGTGTGGCTGGAGTCGCCATCTATTGGGGAAATGTGGGTTATGCAGATCAAAGGCAAAATGAATCATGATGCAACACAACCTGCATTTGGCTGATAGCAAGTCAAATCTACAGAATAATTTATTTATAAACGACTCTTGGTTCAGTTTCAATAAAACAACCTTTTTTTTTTTTTTTTAACCAAGTAATCGTTAGTTGTTGTTTTTGGCGTTCTTAAACGAATTTTAGCCAAATTATTTAAGATACATAGTTGAACTTTTTTTGTCAAACAGGACTAACTTTAAAGCTTCTCCGTGTTTCTCACAGAGCTGCTTTTAAATTTTGAAGTGGAAAAAAAAAAGTCTTGTATTTCAGCGCTGCATTTATTTGACTCGTGAAAACCCATCGTGCACCGGGGCATGCGCTCATAAATTGATCCAAAAACGTGTTGTAAGGTGACTCGCCAAGCCCTCCCACTCTATAAACCTGCACTTGACCTTAACTCGTGGTTCAAATTAGCTGTCAGCGCTGCATAATGCAGGAGGCATGCATTTAGACAGCAGCTGGCAAAAAACACAACTTATTTTGCCAAACGATTGTATTCCAGATCCATGTCATTGTTTGGTAACGTCCCTTCAGAATTTCTTTTAAGTGCAGCAAAAATGGAAGGTCTGGATGGAGGTAAACACTTGCTTGATGCGTTTAAGTCCCTTATCTAGCCTGCCTTTAGTCATCCGGAGAAAAGCTGTGGGATTTGATCAAATCCCTCGTGTTCGTACACCTTGTCCATGTGTTCCACTTCACCAGGTTAGAAGTCACATGACGGGGTAAAAGCCTCTGACTGCTATTCCGTCAGCTCGAGACGGACATTAAACTACAGCAAGTGGTTGATGAGTGTCACAAGTGGAACCTCTTTGTGCACCGAAGTTATTCCGCTGCAGAGACGCAACGACTGACGGGTCTGAAAATGACCGTGTCATGTCTTTGTGACCTGCACCCATTTGTCAAATTCAATATAATAGAATCAATCAAAACGACTGTATAACCTAAAGTTTACTAAATTAAGTTTGGCACGAGGCTGCTCTTTATCAGTCTTCATCATTTCACGTCCGGACAAATTAAACATGTCGCGACAATAACTGCTTTTAAATGTCTGCTACTTTTTAAATTTACAAGACCGCTGGTGTATCCATACGATGCTTTTGTACTTCAACTCCTCTTAGAAGGAGGCATTGTGGGAAAATGGTTATGAATACAAAATGCAGCAATTTGAAAATCCCTTAGATTAAATATTAGATAATACACTAAGACATTTTACCTTTAAAAAATCTAAATAAAGATAATTGGGATTCACAAAGGGGAACAACTTTAGGACATGTTGCTATCGTAAAACTCCAAATTTTCTTGTTTTATTCCCGAGTATAGTTCTTAGTTTTAGCATTTAATGTAAAATGGTGTTTTGTTGGGCTTGTATTTGGATTTTACATCTGATTTGAAATTAGGGTTGCATTTCAAGCTTAGACACTGTTGATGTCTAATATAAGTATTTTTTTTAGTCAAATTAACCTAAGCAGCCATTCAACATTGACTGATCAACCTCTAATATCAATATGGTAAATGTTATCCAAACTTCAAAAACTTAAATGCCAAAAACTTAATTGTAAATCTGAACTGTGTAATATTCCCTAAAACATATATTATTGTTGTGTGAATGTTTATGAAGCATTCACACTATTGTGAGCCATTTTTCTTCCAAATGTTATTCAGAGTGATTCTCATCCTGCAGTTTTCAACTATTTCAACAAATCACGAATCAAAACGTTCGGCTCTTTCAGGACAACCCTGCTATGACTTTTGGTATTGGTGCAACTTTAGCTTTTTGAAATATTCAGACTTTTCTGCCATTTTTTTCCTCATAGAAAATGAATTGAGCTCATTTCCATCCTTCACATCTTTAGATGTGTTTACAACCGTTTACTGCTCCTTTCACATTTTGTTCTGCTTCAGCTGCTTTCAGCGTCCTTCTGCACTTTTAAACTTTTTCAGCTACTTTCAGCTGTTTTGTGCTCCCCTTAAATTCTTTCAGCCAACTATGACATTTTTGTGCTTCTAACTTCTTTCTGCAAGTTTCAGCTTTTTCTGCTATTTCAGCTCCTATTTAGCCGTGTTTTTTTTTTCAACTAACTGAACATTTTTTGCACTAAAATTTTTTTCAGTCAAATTCAGCAAAAATGTGCTCTCTCAACTTCTAGTAATTTGAGATTCTTTTCTGCCTTTTTAGCTACTTTTCAGCAGTTTTTTGTTAATTTCCACTTTTTTGTGCTCATTTCAGATTCTTTCAGCCTAATTGGTCAAATGTGTTCTTTCTACTTTCTTCTGCTAATTTAAGCTTGTTTCACATTTTCAGCTACTTTTTTTTATTTTTTAGCATTTTTTAGCTAATTTCAATTGATTTTGGATGAATTCAAGTTTGTAGTGGTAATTTATTGTACTTTCAAATTGTTATGCTAGTTTCAGCTTTGTCTACTATTTAACTGTTTTTATGCTACTTAAAGCTTTTTACCCCCCCCCCCCCCCCCCACACTTTTTTTTTAAAGCCAATTTCTGCTGTTTCCTTCTGGAAGTTAAGCTTCTCTCTACCTTATCAGTGACTTTTCAGCAATTTTTTGCTAATTTAATCTTTTTTTAGTTCCTAATTTTTGTTCTAATTTCTGCTTGTTTAAAAATAATTCATAAAATGTGTTCTTTATGTTTTCTTTAGGCTTTTTCTTCATTTTCAGCTCCATTTCAGCTGTTTTTCCAGCAAGTTGTTCTGCAACAACACTGCATTTTCACAGGAAATGCACTTTCTCTAGTTATTATGGTGATGAATGAATTCATACCAATGAAAGTCCTGTGAATATTTTTGGTCTTTTGCCATGCTGCTGCTTGTATTAAGAGTTTTGTGCTTATTTGTTAGGTCGACCCGGCTCGTCCCATTTCTTACTCCATTGAACCCAACGGGTCGTTGCTGCTGCAGCCTCTGATCAAAGACCACCAGGGGGAATGGGAGTGCGGCGTCTCCAACCGCGTCGCCTCCATCAAAACACGCACCCGAGTTTTCGTCCTGGGTGAGTCTACCACAAACCAGCGATGATTACATGAGCTCTTCGCATGTTTTAGTTTAGATTGTCCTAAACTGCTGCGCTTGTATTCTTGTGTAAGCGCGTTTTATCCAGCACAGGCCGGATGCCGGCGCCTCCTCTCAGCCTCCGACGTATAAATGTGATACATGAAGAGACGGCCTCCAACCCGTCGTTGAAGTGCTGGTCGGTTTCTATAAACTGCTCTTCTTCCATTACAGGAACCAGTCCCCATGTGGCCACCTCTCTGTCCGTCTCTCCAGGAGTGAAGGAGGCCAACGTATCCTGGGAGGCAGGCTTTGATGGAGGATCAGCGCAGACGTTTTCAGTTTGGTGGGTGTAAAGCCTCCTACTTTCTTCTCGAGCTGTAACCATGGCAGCCATCGACAGCCCTGGTATTACTCTATTGATCTCCTGAACGAGGAATTCATTTATCTGTTATCACCTCTTGGCGGCTACAATATAAAACGTTGCTACAGAGCAGAACTTTACAACGTTGTGGTCACAATCGAGATTTACTGATGAACAGAAGACGCCGTGCTACACTGGTTTTTGTGACTCGTTCTTTTTTTTTTATTGGTTTAGAGAGAAGATGCTGGTTTATTTTATTTGCTTGAAGGCTTAAAGAGACATCGCTGATGTAAATGTTCTCGAACAGCGAAAAACAAAAACACGAATAAGTATTTGTTAAATACATTTCTGTGAAAGAAAAAACTAGTTCTAATTGGAGAATTAAACTGAGGATTTGGAAAACCTTAGGTCAACAGGATCCCAGTGGATCCACAGCATGAGCTGAAGAAACCGAGCTGAAAACGTCTGAGAGGGAACAAAGTTGTTGGTGCAGCAATATGAAAACTCAAAAATATAACGAATGCAAGTGCAATGCTTCAAATCCTGTACGTGGTCTCTCTGGAAAGGTTATGAACAGTTAATGTCTTACCTGTTCTAGATCACTATTCAATCAAATGGTTCAGTTCAGACAAAAATGACGAGCTAAAGTCTTGTCTGAGCAGAGTCGAGACCCAAGCGGCGTACAGCCATCTTAAAATTAAACAAGCCTTATACGTGAACACTATTCTATAAACCTTTAAAATGTTTTTTTTTTTTTATTTCCAAAGGCAAATAGCAACTCCCTGTAACACTTCCAGTGCAGCTTTTATGATGGAATGATTGCAACATTTTTTATAATTTAGTCAAAAGTATTTGCATAAATTAAAGTTTTTTTTTTTTTTTTAGATTGGAGCCGTTTTAATAATTGAAGCATTGTGGAAAGGTTATAACCAATTATTAGATTTTTGAATGTCCTCAGGAAAAAAATATTTTATTTCTGGTTAGCCAGAGGCTCCACTCTGAGTGAAGACCATAATGTTATTTTAAAACGAGTCAAATCTAAGAAATGTAAATTTGTTTGTGTAATTAATCTGAATAACCACAGGCGGTGGGAAAATTGCTTAAACTCCTATAAAGCTTTTAAAATTAGAGTTCGCACGATCCACTTTGGTGTACTTGAAGTAGCTGTTAGCTCGTCAGTCTCGTCAGAATAAAATGTCTTCAAGTTTTCCTCACGAAGACCTCACAATAACACCAGACAGCCTGTTTGTTCTTTGTGACGTTGACTGAATTCAATTTTACAACTACCATAATTTCTGGACTATTGAGCGCACATAAGCCCCGCCCACAAAAAAAAAATCCAATTTACTTTTATAAAACAACAACAACAAATGAGAATTGAAGCCTTCAGGTGCTTCAAACGGTGTCACGAGACTGGAGCAGGAGCAACAACCAGGACGAAATCAGCGGAGAAGGGTGAGGGGAGGAAGGGGGGGGGGGGGGGGTTAGAACACCTGACATAATTGGAGCGGCTCTATTCACACACAACCTGCTGTTCCTCTCCAAAATAGTAATTTTATTAAGTGTTTACAAATGTTGATGTATAACAACCCGTTAAATTACACCAAAATTCAGGAAATGGCATCTGTTGTTCTGTTGTTTTCTCTAAAAGCCCCCCCCCCCCCCCCACACACACACACCCCGGCTTGCCTGCTGTTCCGGCATCAATCGGTTTAAAAATTAAGCCCTGCATTGGTGGTATAAAGCTCGTTAGCGCATTAAAAATAAAATCCATAAATTAGCTGCAGCATTGTATAGGCCACGGGGTTCAAAGTGTGTGAAAAAAGTAGCAGCTTATAGTCCAGAAATTACGGTATCTGGATGTTTAACATAAAGTTCAGACAGAAGCTATTACCGTATTTTGTGGACTATAAGGCGCATTAAGTGAAACAACAGCCAGATAAGTCAAACTTTAGGCAACTCATTCACAATAACTCAACTTTGTTCACTTGTAACACATAAAATTGCTTTGAGCTCAGTAATCACAACCAGAATACGTAAGGTGCACCCGATTATAAGGTTCACTGTTGATTTTTGAGAAAAGTAAAGGATTTTAAGTGCGCCTTATAGTTTGAAAAATACAGAAGCATTTGCACCTTTTCTTTTGCTTTGTTTACATGTATTAACTACGCAGAATTAAAATTGTCCTTATGAGATATTTTGTAGCTTTATTTCAGTAATTTCTCCATTCTTCTCCAGCAACACACCACTTGACTTAAGTCGAAGTTTTGATCTACAAAGTCTCTTTTCTTTCCTCCATTTCTGAAAAGGTGAATTATTATTTTTTTTTTCCGAGAGCCTGAGGGTCAAACGATTGTGTGAAACTTCAGCTCTGATAGAAACATGAAAATCACTCGTAATTGGAGCTGCGAGTTCTGAGTAACATCAGTGATCCATCAGCGCCGTCTGCCACCGTACGCCGAGCTGATGAGCATCAATGATTAATGAAACCTACTTTTCTGTCATGTTTCATTGAACTCCAGAAATCTCTGCCACTCTTCTTTTTTTTTTTGTGCTCACACTTCCTCTCTTGCCTCTGCAGGGTGAAGAAGAGCTCGATTAGTAGCAAAGACGGGAAGCAGGACTGGTTCTCGGTGCCCGTGCCCCCCTCCTCTGGCAGCAGTCTGCAGGTGTCGGGCCTGTCTCCTGCCACCGACTACCAGTTCAGCATCCTGTCTCAGAATAAAATTGGAGCCGGACCCTTCAGTGAGATTACTTCTGCACGGACTTTAGGTCAGTACCACACCTTCATTTCTCTCAGTCTGACTCCTTTAACTTATTTTGGTCACTGATGTGGGAAAAAACACTTTAATTTACTTATTTTAACGTTGAAAACACACAATACATGAGTTTTTCCTCTTCACTCCTGTCTATTAATAATAATAAAAAAGAAAATCAGCTGTTTAAAGATAAATCCAACCAGTTAAGATGAATAATATTATGTGCTTCTCTGGGATCAGTCACTTTAATATTTTAAATACTTACACGTTATTATTTATTTACATGCAATTTATTTGAGTGTTTATTGAATACTATTGGTAAAAAATTCATTTAAATCAAAAATTTACAATTTGTCATTAAGCACTGATGTGACTAATGTGTTATTTTTAAAATTATTAGGTTATAGTGCTAAATGAATCGTTGCTATTTTTATTTAAATGTTGGAAAATCAGAAATTGTGCAACATTCTGTAAAATCTTGTCAATATTTTTCTGACTTGAACTGTTAAATAGCTTAAAGCAATAGTTCAACTCTTTTGACGTAGGATTCTGTGAATATATATATATAAACAAGGAATATCTTACCTGCTGTAGATAGATCTTTGAAGAAATAATTTAATTCTGGCCATGAAGGCAAATCTAAAATGGATCATCTTAAAACTACTCTAAACCTATAAAAGCCCATTTGGCTCATGTAAACAGTATTTTATAAACCTTAACTTTGCTCTAAATAACTCATTTTACGGTTGTTTACAAGCGCAGAGAAGCCACAAAGAGCACATCTAACAAAACGATTAGATTAATTCTGTATTGAGGAACTCATGACGGTTTGAAGGATTGTTGGGCCACTCTTGAAAGCAAAGGGATAATGTTTTATTCTTTTAGCAAAATATTGCATGAGCCTATGAAACTGTCAAAGTAATCAATGGATGATCTACATCCGTTTAACTTGTGGAGTTAACAATTCAAGATGGCCACCACAAAAAAAGTGGCTAAAATTCTGTTTAAAAATACAGATTAAATGTGGTGTGGTAGCAGCTGAGCTTCGTCCCCAATGCATACTTTGAACACAAACCATTTTGCAAGATTTTTGCGTAAATCTTTAGAACTGTTAGAGTGAACCCTGTTGGTCTGTTAGCAAAATATTTCATGAACCAATGAATGGACAACAGTTTTGAACTTAATTCAATTCTGCAAATTTAGAGCTAAAAATTTCTGCTGGTGGTAGCTGACAGTCATCCCCAACATGTACTCTGAGTGTCAGAATTATTATTTTAAATACGACTTTATTTATAACAACACTGTTGGCCAAAGTGCTGTAGACTGATAACACATGAAAGTAAACATAAAAACAATAATCTAAGAGAAGATTAAACTGGAAGTCAGTCGGCGCAGCGATTTTAAAGATACTGTGCTAAAATTTTGTTGTGGTAGTGGAGGACAGACAATCACAACATATACCATAATTTCCAGACTATTGAGCGCTCCTGAATATAAGCCACGCCCACTAAATTTAAAAAAGGAAGAAAAATAAAAGTTTCCCCCTCTCCCCAGTGGACCAATGAAACTTGGTTCTATTTCTATGTTTGTGTTCAGTAATTTCATTGAGTAGTTTTTTTTAACCTTTCTTTATACAGGTAGTCTCACTGAGTCAGGAGGACCCCCCCCGCCCCCTCCACGCAACACAGACACCGGTAGACCCTAGACACTTCTAAACGAGTAGCCCTACG